GCGGGGCGGGGGGCAGGGAGGGCGAGGCGCTTCGAGGATCGAGGATCGAGGACTCGGAAGGCTGGGACCACCGGGGGCACTGGGGGACCGATGACGATCGGATCTCGGTCTGGGAGAGGAGACGAGAGGAGCACGAGGAGGGGTCGGAGGGCCCCAGGAAGAGGACGAGATCCCTTGAGTGCGTATCTTGGGGAGGAGGGTGCGTGGCAATTTGGGGCCGTCTTGGAGCATCCTTTGAGCATCTTGGCGCATCGTGGGATCTATCCTTGGAGCCATCCTTGGATATGTCGGACCATCCTTGGTGCCACACTGGGTTCTCTGAGGCCTCCGTAGCGAGATGTTGGTAGCCTCAAAGATCGAGGATCGAGGACTGTGGAAAAAAACATTTCCAGGGGGTCCGCGACCCTGAGAAACCGAGCACAGGGATCGGCCCTTGCAGCCGAAGGTTTCGGGATGAGCCCGCCCAACCAAAAAGACGTAGGGTTTCGGGGACCATGTCTACTGCCTGCGAGAACCACACAATGATGCCAGCGTTCTGGCACTGGCCGGCTCCCATCCTAAGGGCTCGAGCCTGGCAAAAAAGCTCCGTGCTCGAGGCCTTTTTTTATCTCTGGGGCGCTTAGGGAAGGGAGGGTGCAAAGGCGGGGAGAGGACAGGGCGTTCCGACACGGAGTTTGCATGAGGGGAGGAGGTAGGAGCAGGAGCGGGGGGAAGAGTGCCAGCACCACCGTTGGCAATTGGCGAAAGCGAGTCGGGGATCGTAATTACGGGGGTCAGCACATGGTCGAAACCTACGCATGAGGGATTATGGGCGAGTTCATGAGCCTTGTTCATACTTCCTCTCTCGCAAGACTCGACGGGAGTCTCTCCCGACAAAACGTTGGGATAGGCGACAACCTTCAGTAGACGACGCACAGCGCTGTCCCGTGCCTGCTGTCTCTCCGCGTTCTCGTTCCCCCCAGTCTCGTGCTCGGTCGAGAACGTCCAAGAAAAACTGTTGGGCCCCGCCGGCACGATCGCCCTGGACCTCGAGCGCTGCCTGGGAGGCAAGCCCCCAGCAGCGCACGACATCGCAGGCCGCGCCAAGGCCGACGCCAGCGCAGCTGGCGACGTCGTCATCCTAGCAGAACAGCAGAGCCGCGCTGGCGCGATCGCCCTGGGCCCCGCGCGCCGCCTGGGGAAGCCGCTCTGAGGCCAGCGACACCGCAGCTGGCAACGCTCTCAATTTCCTCGAACGTCGTAAGCTTCACGCGCAGCATCCGCTCCACTTGCGGCATGGGTGCTGGGCCGCTCTTGATATCGCCTCCGAGCTGCTCCGAGCACTTCGCGCTTACCTCCGAGTCTGGCAACTTGCCCATCACCGCCTTGACGCGCGTGCCCCCGCATGTCGACACTACCTTCGCGCGCGGGAACCTGGTCTCGTACTCTTCCAACGCGAAGCCATGGATCTCCGTCTTCAACTTGAATAAGTCGTTCTTGTTCGCGCGCCCCACTCCGCCGCCCTCCGCAAGCGGGCCCAAGATGATCCGGACCAATGCCGCGCAGCTGGTCGCGCTGCACTTCCCCGTTTCTTGCATCGGCTTCCCCTCCGCGCGCAGCTTCTGCAGGTTCGCCGCCCACGCGCGCCCTGTTCTTTGCCTTGATGATAAGCTGAGACGCCAGGTGGAGCTGGGGCCAGCAGCGCGGGGTCCGCCTGGCGCAGCCTCGCTCCGAGGTTCAGCAGCATCATTATGAGTCCGTCGCCCCGCTCTCCGCGTCGCCGCTCTCCGCGCCCATCGGGGCGGGCGCAGCATTGAACATCGAAGGGGAAGTCTGGGGGCGGCCGCGGAAGGCGCCTGGCAAGGTGGCGATCCTCCGCGTCAAATGTCTGGGCCAGCCTGGGCGTGGAGCGACGGGGGCGGGGGTGACATCGCAGTTCAAGGGCGACCGATCCACCTCGCACCTACCGCAGCGGTGCGCTGTCGTCTCATGTCCAAGGGCAGTGTCTCTATCTTTGAACGAGAGCCTGCAAGCCACGCACTGGCTCGTCGTTGCCACCCTGGACGGGGCCCCAACTTCCGGCGCCGACCCCACGAGGCGCGCGCCTGACGCGCGCGAAACGCTCGTTTATTTCGAAGCGGTGGCCGCGGGCAAGGCCAGCCCCGCAACCTAGGCAACGCGCGCGGTCGCATTCGGCGACCTCATCCGCGTCGGCCTCGATCTCCGTCGGCTCGCGGGCCCCGGGCAGCCGCCCCGCCCTCAGCTCGGCCACGCCGATCGCCATGATCTGCACCCTCGCTGCATTGCTGGCACGGAGGGTTGCGGGCACATCGATGCAGTCTTCCTTCTCCTCGAGTGTCTCCTGGAGCTCCCGGCCAGGCTCGGCGACCCCGATGTACTCGAAGTCCTCGGGGAACTGCCCCGCCCGCGGATTGATCGCGGCTGCAGAGGGAGGGGTTCGCCCGCGTCTGGGTCCATCCATTGGACAGCTGGACTGTAGGCCCCTCGAATATCAATGTCGCACACCGCAGCCAGCCGCTGCGTGCGTCGGTCGGGATTCAAAGCCGCCACTGGCCATTCGCGCAATCGTAATACTTTGAGTCCCAGCCAGACGAGCGGGAGTCCAAGCGGGCGCCATCTCTGCTCATCCATGGCATTATAATGTTGGCGCCTTCTGTTCTGTCGGCGCGCTTCGCCGCCCCGCCAAGTAGCGGCCTGCCGCGCAATGTCTACGCGAAGCCCAAGCGGCCCACACGCGCGCTCGCCAGCACAAGGGCGGCGACACCAGAGAGCGCTCTGCGTTGAAGCGGCCATGACTTGCGAGCGTGCCACAAGTTCCCAACGCGGCTCCAGCCTCTTCCCACCGCGACCCAGGCGCGCGAAACGCTGCGCCCAGGGAGGGGAGGAAGTACGCGACGCAGCCGCGGCCGTAAGTGCACGTGCGTCGGTGGGAATACCTTTCGTGCGCCTGGCAGGCCTGGCCCCGCAATCCTCAGGATGATTCCTTTCCTGGCAGCGCTCCGTGCGACGCCTCGCTTGGTCGGCCCCCTGCCGGGCCCGCAGTCGGATTCGTTGACGCGCTCTCCCGCGCCCTCGGGGCGGGCAACCTCGCGCGCCCCGTCCGCGTCGTCCGCGCGCACCCTCAGCGAGAGATCCACCGGCTCAGTCGAGACGGGGTCTTCCCCGCGCCGATCGCGGGACCGGGTTGGGAGGCGCGCATCTATGCGCGCCCAAAACGGCGCTAGCGCAGTTGCCGACAGCGGGCGCGACCGTCGCGCGCCCCGCCCGGGGCGCGTTTGAGCAGGCGCGGGCAAGGCCGCAGCCGCAGCGGCCCAGGCACCCACGGCGGAAACCGCTGCCCGCGGTCTCGACGCCGTCTCAAACCAAGCGCCGCCTCGCGCCGACGCCGCGAATCTGCGCCCGCGACCGGGCGCGCGAAAAATGTTGGGCGAAGCCGCGCGACGGCCTGGGAACGCGCGCGGGCGCGCTCGCCAGCGCCGCCCCCCATCCACCACATCGAGGGGGGGCACTGGCTTTGCCCCCTCTGGAAACGATGCCGCCGCGGGGGCTTGAGCCAAATTTGCGGCGGACCCCGCGCCCCTACGCTCACCCGCCCTCCCTCCTCGGCCCGCCATCGCCCCGCCCATTGGCCCCGCCGCGACCTCGCCTCCCGCCCCCGCCCCCGCTCGCACCACCCGCCCTTCGCCACCCCCTGCCCGCTCCCCCCCCGCCGCGCGCCCGCCCGCCCCCCCCCCCCCCCTCCCACCCAGCTCCGATGTCCATCCCTCTGTTTTCCCCGCTTCCTCCCCCGTTCCCTGCGCCCGCCAGCCCCTCCACGTCCTGCTCAATGTCTACCCGTCTGTGCCCCGTTTCCCGCCCCCGACAACCCCCCCCCCCCCTGCGCCCGCGCCCCCGCCGCCCTCGCGGCCCGCCCGACCTCCAGGCGCATGCGAAAACGGAGCGTCTAGGAACTATACGCGGTTTCCGCCCCTACACTTGCGGGGCGCCATCGCCTACCGCGGCCAACCGTCGGCCGATGCAAGAAGTGGCCAGACGCGACGCCCCAGGTCGCCGAGGCCGCAGAAATTCTGCGAGGGCCATTGGGCGACCTCCCACGACCTGATGGGCGCGCAGAATTTCGGCGGGTCGCCCCGCACGATGCGTCGCGGAATGTTCGCCGCCACGAAATTCAATGCACCAATCGGGCCTTGTATCCTTCTCCTCTAACAGCATGATTTCCCATGATCCTCCGCGGCGATGGACAGCGGGCGACTGCGCGCGGACGCCCCCGGGGGAACCGCGTGCGAAGCTCCACGCGGCGCGCAACCTGAATGACAAATGCGACGGCGCTGCCAGGGGGCGGGCCTCCGCGCCGAGGCCCTGCGCGGAGCTGCCGCGCGGGGGACAAATTGTTCCTGCGCGCAAGCATTTGCTCGGATACGACACGCGCAATAATGGCTGCCCCTACTGGGCTCGCAGGGCGGCGCCCCCTGCGGGGCGCCATCCGATGGGATGGGCGCGCCGAAACGAGCGCGGTGATGCCGCGGGAACTCCCGCTGAGGCCTCCAGCGCAACTGTGGCCGCGATCTTCGCGAGGGGCATGCCGACGCGGGCGCGGGGGCGCAATTGGGGCGACCAACCCTGCGGGCCACGGGCGGGGCTCCATCGCTGGCCCGAGCCGCGGGGGCGGCGCGCCGCAACGGTTGCGATCGCGCTCCGAGGCCGCCCTTCTCGGGCTCGGGCGGGGCCCACTGCGGGCTGCAGTCCGCGCTGGGGGCGCGCCGAAAAGATCGCGGAAACGCCGTTGGTTGGCGCGCCCCTGCGGAGGCCGCAGGCGAAGCCCCGCGCGGGGCGCGATTCGCGCGAGGACATCGCCTAACCGACCCCTGCACTCGCAGCAACAGCAACGGGTGGCATAGACGGGCCGCCAGCAGCGCGCCGCAGGCAACGCGACAGAGGCGGCCGCGAGCGGAGGAGGGCTGGCAAAGGAGGAAGACGCACGGCGCAGCGAAGGGAAAACG